TGGGGGGGTGTCTGTGATGTGGCGCAGATGCCCTTTTTTCTACTTTTTGTTTTTTAATGGGTGTGTGTATACAAGGGGGGGCGAGCGCGCGCGCGAGAGACAGAGACAGGGACATAGAACGAATCCACGCGCGCGCGCGCGCGCGAGAGAGAGAGAGAGAGAGAGAGAGAGAGAGAGAGAGAGAGAGACAGAGAACAAATCCCCTTAACACGGCTCAGACGGCCCATGCAGGCTATCTGAAGGGTCCTCGCATCCATGTAGCGCAGACCCCCCCACCAAAATCGAGGCAGGCTGTGAATATGAAGTAGAGCACGAGCTGGCCGAGTATATACTCAAGATTCGAATTCAGGTCTGTGTTTCAACAGTTATGGGTTGCTCACGTAGCTAGGCCCTGGTTGTCTCTGCACCTAACTCTTAGGGCTTGGCTGCACTACTCACGAAATGTGCAGAATTAGAATGAATCTTTTGCAGAACGTGGAATAATACGCCACCATATGTTTTGTCTTTTGTGCATTTGGTGCACGTATTCGTAAGAAAAGAAAAGAGAGAAAACAGAGAAATATTGACCCATAACGGAGATGCACAGACCTGAATTTGAATCCAGAGTATATATTCTCTGCCCACCCTCACGGAGTACAAGTTTGAAGTGTATCTCTGCATGACGTTGGGTCCTAGCTAACATGCTGTAGAGATCCTTTCGAGAAGAGGCTGGACACAACTAGGACGTTTTAATTTTCTACTTTTTTAATGCGCCGCATCACTTGTGCGTGCGTGCATGCGCGTGCGGCACCCTTGCGCATGAGATGCGCTGCAAGTATGATTCGAACACATCTCTCTCTCTCTCTCTCTCTCACACACACACACACACGCACACACACACACACACACACACAACGAGGGTTAGAAATCCACCGACAGGGGAGTGCGCTGGTTGGGACCGGCCCCCAACTGTGCCTTGCCCGGCCAGGCTGCTTGGGACCTCCCCCGGGGCCCTGCCGGTCACCTGGGGGGCTTGAATCCCCACTCAGAAAAAAATTCAAAAAAAAGAAAAAACCCATGGTCATATATATAATATTATTCGTCAAACAATATGGCCATAAATATTCCTGTCAGTGCTCCACATTAATACTTGCATGGTCACCACGACATAACCCTGTCACCAAAAAATAGATAAAGTGCACATAATATTACTACCGTAATAGTACTAATTCTAACGAATAATAATCGTAATAAGAATAAGAAAACAAGAAATGAAAATAACGATAATAAAGGCCTACAGACCACCAAGTCCTCCCCGCACCCGGTTACTAAATAAAGCAGTGGTTTTGAGAAATGAAAATAATGATAATAAAGGCGTACAGACCACCAATTCCTTCCCCCCCCCCCCCCCCCCCCCCCCCCCCCCCCCCCCCCCCCTCCCCGCTGTTTGATTACAAGTTTCGCCTTTACGAGAGGATGCCCCAAGCCTCATTCTGGCGCTCAAGCCTCATTTTGGAGGCTTCATCATCATTCCATAAAAAATATAAAATACTTGTTCTTGAAACGATTTTCACCTTTTAGCAGTAGCGGATGCAGTACCCAGGGTTCGATCCCTAGACCTCACCCTACCCAT